AATAAATATATAATAATATATTTATAGATGTATTTTTATATTCATATTAATGTTATTTTCAATATTTTATCATATTTTATACATATTTTAATACATTTATAATATATTATTATTATTAAATGTTTCTTTGAGCACCAAATCAGCATATTAGATTGATTTGTGAAGGATCATGTGACACTGAAGACTGGAATAATGGCTGATGAAAATTCAACTTTGTCATCACAAGAATAAATTACACTTTAAAATATATTAAAACACAAATAAACCTTACGGACCCCAAATATTTTTAATGGTAGTCCGTATATACACGCACACATTGTGATTTATAATAAAGTGTGAGTTTTACCTCTCCCCAGCTTCCCATCTTCCACTTGGGGCACCTCCCACCTCTGCAACGCCTTTGCTTTTGTGGGAGGGGCAGGTGTAGGCAGTTCTCTTCTGGGATTGGCTGGCCCGAGTGACTGACACAAGTCACACTGCGGTACTTGTATCCTCTCCCACAGGAGCACTGCAAGAAAGGGAAAAATGCTTCAGTGAAATCCAACTGCTTGATAAACATGAGCCTAATTAGTGTGTCATTTGAGGTGATTATGTTTGATTATGAAGCTGATTATGTCTAATTATGTGAATTTATGGGTAAGTCAAAGTAAACAAAAGAATAGATCAGTCCTGTGGTAATCATTGTAATTACGTTAAAATTTATTACCATTTTGACAGCACATCATGTTATGTGGAGAATTAGTATATGGACATTTACATTATAAGATACCAATAACATAATACATGATATACAATTGGAGCAGCATAAACAAATCATTTGTTTTTACCTCAAATACTATTTACAGTATAAAAAGAGGAAAGAAAGTGTCTCTGAATCATAATGAATGGCAGTCACTACATTCGCTTGCCGAGCTGAAGAAACAGTGACATATTTTCTGGCACCAGCGGATAAAGGGAAAAGAGAGAGAGGCTTCCCTGGACCCCAGGATGGGAGAGGAACGGATAATCAAAGGGCCCCGTAGAGGGAGGATGGATATGATGTGACAAGTCTGAAGTTGAACGAGTCCATTCCCAGCATGCATTCACGAAATACAGGAACTAAGAGAACAGAAACTCCCCAATACTTTTTCAAGCAAGTTTAGCAAGTCAGTGTGTCACAGTTGTATTTAAGGTGATGGAATTCATTTTGAACAAAATAGGTCTTGGGCGGTTTAACATTCATATATATATATATATATATATATATATATATATATATTTGCTTTTACAAATATTTACAGTACCAAAATATATACAGTTGGTTCAACTGATTGCATATTATACTAAATTAAATACCGACAACATGGACAGTTGCAGCAAAATAACAAAACTTTACATAAAATTATATAAAATACACTTTTATCTTTAAAGCAAGACCTCCATGTACCATTGTTATAATGATCCACTTTAATAATTCATTCAAAGCCCTAAATATTGATTCATAATAAATCATACACTTGCTTACTCTGCCTCAGAATGTTACAGTGTGTGTTTATGTGTGAGAATGTGTAATATATATGTTCTTTTAGGGATTCTGTTACAAGTGTAAAAGTTGCATGCTTAGTTTTGTGAGTGTGTGAAGGTCTCTTTAGTTGATATGAAACATCAATAAGCATACATTTAATCAATTGTATCTTGGTGCTAATTTCTGTAATCAGCTCTAAAACACTTAAAGTGGCTGGTATTTTAATTATTGACATCTGAAATGGTTTTTACATACAGCAATAATGTGTCTGAATATTAAGGGGCCATATCATTTAGTTAATCATAACATATATAATTTCATTTGTTTTCAAATGGCAAGGCCTTTATTTCAGTCGCGGTTAAGGTGTGGAAAGATGCCATACTGTTGTTAAATGAATGCACCACTGATTTAATGAGCACAAATTACCAACTTTTCACACTCAAAAGGATTCCAATGCAGGGTAATTTACTTAAAAATTCCCTTCATCTAAAAACCACCCACAATCCTGAAACGCACAAGCTAAAGTTTGCTTCCCAGAGCAAAACTGTTTAACCAAATGTCATCAAATTGACAATAGAAAAATTAAAAAGTGTATATTGGATTTTTTCTGTCAAAAATGAATAAAACGTATATTTGTTATGCTAATAAAACATGTTCAAAACAAATATTCCAATTCATGACATCTGAATGCAATCAAAACATATACGTTTAACTGTAACGCCACCCTTCAGTTCATTGATCATGGCTTTTTAGACCATGCAAAATTGCCTTGTTTTCCTTTCAATTGTTGCCACAAATGATCAGTCCAGGAATGGCAACGTACTTGGCCACGTGCCTCACTACATTCCAACGTGAGGACTTCCAAGTATCAAACTGCACACAGATATCCAGACTGCAGAGGCCTCCATGCTATGTGGGGCCATGCCGTTCATTCTTCCCATAAGAATAAAACTCTTTCTGAGAAGTGCGTCCATTCTGATTAGATGAGCTGGGAAGGTCGGTAAAGACCATCCTTGGCCCCCCATGCCCTTGCCATTGTTATTTTGATGTATGCTCATTGCTCACTCGGTTGACTGTGACTATATCACCACTATCAGGGCTGGTTAATATCCTGTGCCGTCAAAAAGGAAATAGACAGCGGTAATAGACTTCTTCTGTAGGTATTGAGGTGAGTGAGCACCAAAAAAAAAAGACCCCCATTTAAGTATCATTAAAACAGGTAAAAGATGTTGAATACTCAGATGAGAAATGAAATAAAAGCAGCAGGATAACACAAAAAAGTCATACAGAATTGGAAGTTTGACTCACGAAACAACACATATTAAGCTCAGTGATTTTGTACCTTCTTTGATTTGAGAACATATGCTTAATCGGCAAATAAAATGCTATCTTTTTAAAAACCGAACACCTTCAGAATAATACAAGGCATTCAATATTCAAAGTCATTTTCTTTTCTAGATGACTAATTCACAAATCAACTAGTATTATTCATTAATTACAAAAATTTGCCTACTTTTCCAAACCACATCAATAATAATAAAAAAAGAAAAAGAAAAGCTTGTTGTTTAATTTGACCATCATCAACAGGTTCAAACAAATATGGACAAACATATGGCAGCAGAAATAAATACAAATACATACAATAATATACAGAAATGTTCATGCACACATTCATCAATACTGCCATTTGATTTAAACCGCTTAATGTTCCGTCTGGTTACATTAACAGACCATGTCATGAAAGGGAATAGCACCATAGACACTATAGCACCATGACGTCTTTGGAAAAAAAAAAAATACAAATTTGTATAAATACAGTGCTGTGAAAAAGTAAGTACACCCCATGAAAAGTGTAGTATTTAGGACAGATATTGGATTGACATTCCGTCAATGTTAATAGATAAAATCAATTATAATTTAATAAATCATACACTCTAAAAAATGCTGGGTTAAATACAACCCAGTGCTGGGTAAAATAGGGACAAAACCAGCAATTGGTCTGTTTGGACCCAGCGGTTGGGTTACTACCCAGAAGGTTGGGTTAAACATTTAACCCAACCGCTGGGTCAAAACAGCCCAATTGCTGGGTTTGTCCCTGTTTTACCCAGCACTGGGTTGTATTTAACCCAGCATTTTTTAGAGTGTACTTTTTTTATAATGATTTGTGCCATTTCTTTTTTACATCACTGTATGTTTCTTTAAATATATACTATTATATCCATGAGAGATTAGAGATCAAATTAAGCAATGGATGGTTGCTTATGGATGTTATAGGATAGCTTAGCATTTGTTATCACCATCCACAAATATAAAGTGGATGGAAGATGTATGTGGGGCTCTTCATTACGACTGAGGTAGACACAAGCAACTGGCCAACAAGCATATTTAAAAAAAGAAGAAAAAAAAAAACGGGCCTTCCCTGGGTCTGAGGGAAATGCAATGAGGAATTTTACACACTAGACTAAACATGTTTTTTTGTTGCCTAATACACACAAAAAATTAGATATTACTGATTTTGTAAATAACCTAGAAAAATATTAGAATTGCAGAACAAATCAACAGACAAAATGACACAAAACTACATTTGATTTCAGATTAGGTCAAAACTTTTTGTATTTACTTAAAATGTACTTCTGTAAATTACCTTAAATATACAAAAATATAGCAACTATAGACAGATTTTCACATAAAGTCTCCCTTGTACTGAAAAAGCACCATCATAAATTTAAAAAAGGTCAATGGCTAGCTGAGTTCATGTGAGGTATGGTTGAAAAAAAAATAAAGAGAAATGAATTATGAAGATCGATAGAAAAACCACAGAAAGATTGTTTCAATATAATAAAGTAAACTGCCTGTGGTCAGATGTTTTAGCTCTGTAGTGGAGCAATACAAGTGTTGCTGCCCATGTATTCTAAATACTATATACAACTGTACTGTGTTTTGAACACAAGCCACAGCAAAGGGCATCACAATGATTTGTATTTATCCAAAGTACAGCTGCATTGGGCAAAAGAATCCTAACATAGAAAATTAAATGGAGAAAAAAGCAAACAAAACAGCATTCAAACTTAAACACATCGACCAAAGAGATGCTCACTTTTTCAGTCAGGAAATAAACCTCTAAAACAATATTTAACTGAATGTTTGGTAGATCTTTAAGTGCAACTGAAACTCGCTAAAAAGCAGCTATTTGCTTCCTCAAAGATCAAACCATTTGAGTTTCAGTTTGTTTTCTTCATGTCTTGAGCGTAAAGAAACATCGGCATGTTGTGAGAATGAGAACTTATGAAGGGAAAAAGTTAAAATAGTTACGAGCGTACCGAGCTCCATTGGTCTGTGCTCCAGTGAGGGTTAATAGAGCAGGACTGAGTATTGCACTGTTCTCGGTCGGGTGGTTTGTCAAGAATTTCACAGTTCAGATCGTTAAAGTGCTCCCCGTTGGGCCGCTGACAAGCGACCAACCGGGTCTTTATCCCTCCTCCGCAGGATTTTGAACACTAGGGAGGCAGAAACAGAGTATGGGTGAGAGAAAAGAAAGAGTGAAAGTCTGGCTTTATTAACAGATAGAATTTTTCTGAGAGCACATTTTCAAAAGACAGCTTGGACCACATATATAATGTCAAAATATCATAATCTCACGGTCTTCTCTTGAGTAGGCACACTTCTAAAGCTTCGTTCAAATAGACAAAATAAGACATGTCGGCCTATCCTACTCAAATATCCTTTGTATTTTTGTCTGAATGGCAAACAAATCCTATATTGACCCTAATGCAAGAAACTGATTTTACAAACCAGTTGTAAATATGAATAAAAATGTTAATGCATGATTAAAATGGAAATCGTGTAATGTGATAAAAAGAAATGTCTTACTTAGCTAATGGATAACATATACATACATGCATACACCAATTCAAACGTTTGGGGTTGATTTATTTTCTTTATTTTATACAGTATAAACATTTTAAAATGTAATTGATTTCCGTGTTAAATTACTCCAGTCTTCAATGTCATATGATCCTTCATAATCATTCTGATTTGATGCTCAAAAGACATTTCTTATTATTATCAATGTTGAAAACAGCTGTGCCGCTTAATATCTTTGTGGAAACATTTTTTCAGGATTTTTTGATGAATAGAAAGTTCAAAAGAACACATTTGAAATATAATAAAGCAATAAGCCCCAAGAAGCCGTGGTTTACAGTGAATTTATAACAGCTAAGGGGCATTGTTAGGCACGACGTGAAGCAGAGTGCCCAAAACCCCCTTAGCTGTTATAAATTCACTGTAAACCACGGCTTCACGGGGCTTATTGCTTTTATAAAACGGTTATTCCATATACGTAGTAAGGTTTCGTAAAATAAAACAGAGCAAAAAAAGTGTAATGATATTAATAAAAACAGTATTCTTCCACCAAACAATGTAGTTCTTCAGAATCAGTTGTGGTTGCAACAAAGTGGTTGCCAAGCAACATCACCGTGATATATCGCATTACCGAATACCGGCACAAGTCTAGGCTCAGCCAATCAGAATCAAGAACCAGAACTATCCATTTTATAAATCTTTTTTAACATTACAAATGTCTTTACTGTCACTTTTGAACATTTAAATGTGTCCTTTCTAAATAAAATATTCAAATATTAATTTCTTGGAACAAATCTTACTGACCTCAAACCTTTCAACAGTAGTATACATTTGATTAAATAAAACCAATTCAATTGAATTGAGAGCATCTTACCTCACCCCAGCTGCCATAGAACCACTGAGGGCAGGGGCCGGACTCACAGGAGCGTTGCTCTATGGGTTGAGTGCTTTCATCACAGCTGTTGGCAGGGTAGCCGTTCTCATCCTGACACACCACCACACGCCTCTGGAATCCTCCGGCACAGGTACTTGAACACTGAGAGGTGTGAAAGAGAAACAGAAGCTACATAATGAGAGAAGGGCCACACACACACACACACACACACACACACACACACACACACACAGCCTCACCCCCTCAGGCAAGAGCGAAACGGTCTGCAGCGAAAGCGCCAGTGTGTGTGTGCAAGCAAGCACATTCTCAATAGACCAATTTCACATTCCATTAGCCTTGACAGAAAATATACGTCAATACATAAACACTGACCAACCCTGACTCCTTTGATGAGAACGATTATGACTGGAATCGATTATGACTATTTCCATTATTTATTTATTTTTAGAAAATGTTGGAACTGAATGACATTTCGTTTTATTAATGCTTGACTCTTGATGGTATGGCAAAAGAAATTATGTTTTAGCTAAGTTCTGAATAAGCAGAATTAAATGTGATAAGAGAAATAGAGAATGGCAGAAACAATACAAAAACATTAATAAAAAGCATTGCATTTAATTTATTACCATATATACTAAAAGTCTGTGAACGTTTAAATGCTTTTGAAATACGTCTATTATGCATACCAAGGCTGCATTTATTTAATCAGAAAAATAGGAAAACTATATTAATGTGAAATATTATTACAATTTAAAATAACTGTTTTTTATTTTATTACATTTTATTTATTTTATTAGCAGTCTTCACAATTCAGTCACGATTCTTCAGAAATTCGAATATTACCTGAACTTTTGACTTCCTTTTTGTCTTGTAGGTATTTGTAGACCTTTCTAAAAGCGCTTCCTTTATAGCTATATATAATTTGCATCCTTCCAAGTGATAGTAATCATGAGCAATTGAATGATTCTGATTCCACTTATTAAGGATATAATTCATGATACTTTGAATATTACTATCCATTAGTCACATTACATATATATATATATATGTAATGTGACTAATGGATAGTAATATTCAAAGTATCATGAATTATATCCTTAATAAGTGGAATCAGAATCATTCAATTGCTCATGATTACTATCACTTGGAAGGATGCAAATTATATATAGCTATAAAGGAAGCGCTTTTAGAAAGGTCTACAAATACCTACAAGACAAAAAGGAAGAGCTTCCCAAAAACTGCACAATATTTAGCTGTTCTTTGAAATCTAAAGACTATTTAAAGCAATGATATCATGAAGGAAACAGGAGCATTTATCAGAAAGAGGAAATGCTGCTGCTTGGGTGACTTCTTAGAGAGTTCATGTACTGGTGAGCTTAGCACCTTAGATGTCATTCTGTTCCTGGGTTTGCAAAAAGTTCTCTAACAGGACTAGTATGTGGAATATATCAAATATCAGAGACATGCAGAGACATAATCATTTTTAGAGGTACTTACCGCCCCCCATGGTCCAGTCCTCCATTGATGTGACTGGGGTCTGCCAGCTCTGTTACGGTCAGTTCGTCCGGCGGGAACTGTTTTTTTCCGAGAATCAGTGTTAGGTGAAAAGCCCCCGTGATCGCTGGAGCGAGACGGACACTGGGGCATGGCACACTCCTGCTCTGTTGATGGTTGATCATCTGGGTCACACTCACTCATTTCCACAACTTGATCACTGATGTTCATGCACACTACTTGCCGTGTAGTCTTACCCTGACCACAGGATACGGAGCACTGTAAATACAGACAGATACACACACACGCACATGATTGCACAGAAAACACATTATACTGAACAATAACACCATATATTAAGATGATAACCGACCACACCTAAGTTTAACCTTAAAACTGTCAGGATTTGTATTTTTGAATTAACTATTACTTATATTAAAAATAGAAGAAAAATAGTCCCCTTAGTTTAGTGTGTTTGACTTTTTCAGATATCTGAAAGTCTTGATTTAAAAACTAAAAAGCAGGAGGACATTGGCTAAAGCAATCCGACCACACTAATTCTTGTCTTCCTGTACAAATGTGAATAGTATGCACACCGAACCCCATCTGCACACAAGAGCCACAAAAATGAACTCTCATCAGTTTCCAATTACAACTGAGCTCTGAACACCAGAATGCGAGCAGAATGATCAAGGTCAATGGTCTATGATATTAGGCTGTAGAACAGCTGTGAACGAAAATGCAAAAACTTGCAGTATTGAAACAGTGTTGGCTAACACACAAATATACCGAATAAATACAGTGGGGTCCAAATGTCTGAGACCACAAAATGTAATTTAAACTTGAAAATAAACAAAATATTTAAGGATTTAAAAAAAGGAAAAAAAAAAAAGGTATGCACTATTTCTAGGTCACAGATGAAATAAGTAAATTTGTGATCCTGACCATGTGAACTCTCTCTGGAAATGATTTTCCTTGTTCCATTGAAATACAAAAACAATTTTAAACTATGCTGGATAAAATCATCAGGTTCATTTTTCAACTTTTCACAAAATAGTTGTGCTAAAAATAAAATAAAATAATTAAATTAAATTAAATTAAATTAAATTAGATTAGATTAGATTAGATTAGATTAGATTAGATTAGATTAGATTAGATTAGATTAGATTAGATTAGATTTGATTTGATTTGAGATAAAAAGGTATATTTTATTTACCGGAGTCCATTCCAGGACCTTCCACTGTCCGCACGCCACTATGGAGCAAACCTCACTAGCAGGAGGTTTTGGAAGATGGGAGCAGGCTGATTCCTCTGCTACTCCACCCTGCTGGTCACGGCAGCTTACATAGCGCATCCGGGTGCCCTTTCCACAGGTGGCACTGCACTATTGTAAAGAACGACCATTTTACAATATCTACAGAACCTATTACATCATCTAGCACAATAACTACTAACAGTAATTCATATACATGACATTATTCAAGAACGTACCTGTGTCCAAGATCCAAAGCGCCACTGTGTTTTATGACCAGGATGTGACATCACTTTGGTCTCTGGGGCAACAGGATGAGTAACAGGACACTGCGAGAGTTCACAGTCCTGTGGAAGGGAGGAAGTGGGGAAGGACAATCAATTTTCGGTAATGAAGATCCGTGACTCTAGGGGTGAGGACGGTAGGGCTTCAAGGCTGGAGCCAGTGTGCTTGATTTATGCTTGACTGGCTGAAATCACTTGTTCTGGGTCACTGCGCCTTACGGCAAATAGAGGATTTAAAACCAGGGGGCCACCTGCTTTCTCGTTCTGTCTGCCGTATCCCTCCTTTCGGTTCCTGACTCTCTCACACTCCCACCTACCTCCACTTATTCTCCCTTGGTTTCTGCCTTCGCCAATCATTTTACATGTCTCTCTGAAATACCTGACCCTGATTGGTCAATCACAGCGTTCTGCGGTCAAATAGTTTAATATAAAGACTGTATAGTATAATTGACCATTTTTCTACATGGCAATCGATTTACTGCTGAGCTATGCTTGTTCTTTCTGTTTCTGTTTTATGTAACTTTATAATATCAACTCAAATCAAAATTTTACTTTGGTAAGTAGCTGTGTAATATGTGGGATAATGTACAGTCATCCTGGTATTATCGTAAAATAAACTCCTTCAGGGTAATACAAGATCCTTCCACTTTCGCGTCCGGGTCCTGATCATCCTGCCTGGGTTTATTTTGCGATAATCTGGCTGACTGTACAATATCCCTTATTTATTAAATTCTTTTCTCTCTCTGTCTCTTATAGTGTATATTACAGTATATGTCTTATGTATACATGTTCTTAGACTTTTATCAACCTGGTTGGCTTGACGGTGGGAAAAAAGGGCTCTTTCTTTCATCTCCTAAAAGCCTTGTGAAAATGAAGCTCTATAAAACCAATGCCTCAGGAAAGTTCATAAAATACTCTGTGAAATGCAGCGTTCAGCCACTCCAGCTCTGCAGCACAATTACACTGGGGGAGGGGGAACGGGGTAAATGTAATTTTGCAGGCATGTGCAGATTGTTAAGTAAATAAAATCAAGATCCAGATGACTGCAAATGAACTTAAATGACTATTAAATATAAATCTGCAGTGGAACTATATAGACATGGAAGTTATAATCACAACAGTTCATACTGAAAAAACGACACATGCAAACACACAAGTTAATGGTGCACACACACATTCAGGGTTCCCACACTATTTGACCAATGTATTTCTTTATTTTTTCCAGTCGTTTATAATAATATTAATAATTAAAATTCAGATTCAGATTAATGAATCATCTGAATAAATATTTTACAGCCCTAAAAAACATACCTTTTAAATTCCCTGATATTTCAAAACATTGGGAACACTTTTAAGGTTAATTTCCTATTAATGGCCTGATGCGGCATGTGTTTGTATATGTAGACCCATGCTTTTCCTTCAGACAAGGCTTTATTGAGTGCAGGTGATAAATATGCTGGATGGGAAACTTCCTTCCTGCCTTTCAGGCTGTACCTGCACACACGTTTTTTTCTCTTTTCCAGTTTCTCATTCCAGGATGGTGTAAAACTACTTAGTAAATTAATACTTGTACATACCTAAAAGACAACACCTCTCTTCAAATTACTGCACAGTCATTAATATAACACCTCAAAAAATAACTTATATCTTACAAACTGAGTCAATAACAATGTATAAAATGCAAAAGAATCATTTTAATGGATAGTTCACCCAAAAAATGAAAATTCTGTAATCACTTAAAGTTGTTACAAACCTATAACAGTTGCTAATATTCACTTACTTCCATAGTATGGAAAATAAATTCTATGGAAGTCAATGGCTACGCTACCGTCAACTATTTGGTTGCCAACATTCTTTAAAATGTCTTTTATGTTCAACAGAAAAAAAAAAACTCAATTTGTAAAGGATGACAGAATTTTCATTTTGGGATGAACTATCCCTCTAATGTATCAGTGCCACAAATCATGTCCATTTCAAGGCAAAACAGTGTTTGCAATAACGGTAACGCATGATCTCCAAGGTTTCTTAATTGTGCTGTGGTTCAGCTATTAAAAGCAACTTTTAACCCACTCCCTGGCTTCTTGCTCTTTCATTTCATCAAGCATACAGCAAATTGAACCAGGAAGACTGGTTCACCCCTTTATGGTTTTCAGTAGTTATATTGTGAAAAACTAACACAGTTCTTAGTTCGCACTCAATAATGAGAAAGAGAGAAATTAATGAGAGTCAGTGTGAATGTTAGAGATCAATGCTCCTACCTGAGTGTCTGTTGGACGTGTTGCTGCATTACATTGAGAGTCATCCATGACAGAGCCGTATGAGCCAACCACACACTTCACAGCTCTCATCTGATAGCCCGGGCCACATGTGGTGGTACACTACACACACAAATAAAGAGGGAGGTCAGTTAGGGACAGTATCTCATTTAATGTTACATTGTAATGCCTATGAATTACCCAGGAGAATAAGTTGAGATTTAAGACTGCCACTATTGGACTGCTGGCATCAATCCAGCACTGATGTGATAAGCACCCGCATGGGCAACCTGGGATGTGGGCCAGTAATTTGTCCACCTTTCTCCTTTTCTTTACCTCTTTTCCTCATCACTGACTTGACTGCAACAAGGTCAAGCTTATGTGGCAGCATTTGCAGCTAGATCGCATATGCTTCAGTAAAGCACCTCAAACATGCATTTATCAGGATTGTTTAATCTATGCAAGAGCGATGTCTAATCTCTATCATACTTTAGGACTTAAAGATAGTTTGCCCACACAAATCCTACAAATTATATGATTCCCCTCTGGGTGATCTCTGGAAAAAATCTATTTGCTTTTCTGAAGACAGTCATAAACTGCTCGAGTGGATAGAAAACAGATTATCCATGAATAGATGATATTCACACAGTGTCTGCAAGTTTTAAAAAGTATTTCAGATGGATTTTGTAACAAAAAGCTTAAAAAGGATTTTAACACCACATTCTGCTCAACTGTATGATTTGCAATAGGCTAAAAAAGACGTTATTATATTCAATACTCTTAAATTACTTGATTTTCTTTTATTTTATTTTCAACTAAATTCTTTTGAACTGACATTTCATCTAAGACTCCTGAAAAAGACTACCACAGTCTCCAAAAAAATAAATAAATAAGCATCTGTTTTCAACATTAATAATAATCATCAAATGTTTCTTAAGCACAAAATCAGCATATCAGAATGATTTCTGAAGGATCATGTGACATAGCTGTTGAAAATTGCTGACAATTATGAAACAAATTACATTTTTAAATATATTAAAATAGAAAACTGTTATTTTAAATTGTAATGAAATTTCATAATATTACTGTTTTTTTATCAAATAAATGCAGCCTTCTTTCAAAAAAAAAAAAATAATAAAAAATCTTGCCAACTCTATACTTTTTGAATGGTAGTGTATATACTACTTTTTTGGTATTCAACGGTGGTTATCATATAAATCAGAATGAAAAAAAGTCTATTATCACCTTTGCGATAATATCAAATATCTTGCAGTACAAGCTCAAAAAATGGCACATTCACACAGATGTTTTAAAGCAGCACAGTGTTTTGCACTATTGAATGTTGATTATTAATTTCCATGTATAGCTGACAAAAAAAAAACAAGATGAAAAACTTTAAACTTGCTCTGATGGCATTTTATTTAAGTACATGCAGCAAAGCATCTAGTGAGAAGCAAGTTTTTCAATGAACTAATGTGGGACCTCTGTGAACAACATTTAAAACTTTTTTAAAAAGCAAATGAAACTTAATACTTTTCAGGGATCCACAGACCTTATAAACAACATAGTTATGTTTGTTTCAGATGTGTTCCACATCGACGCAAAAGTACCAAATGTTGTTATTTGGCTGGTCCCTAACTTCGTTCAATTTTTGTGGCCGCTTTCCGCCCACACAGCAGCTGTAATAATCTGTTTACAATATCTGCCAGCTATGACTGCACTGACTCCTGGAAATTACATTGCATTATCACAATACACTTGAATTTTCATTTCACAGGCATAAGCATCAAATATGCTTCATGTAATACCTGACATACCTGAACATGTCATGCACCTAAATACTGTTTTTTTTGTTTGTTTGTTTGTTTGTTTCTCACCTGTCCCCAAGGTCCCACCTGCCAGGAGGCACATTCTTGCTGTTGGCAGGCCTGTACTGACTCTGGTTTGGAGGAATCACAGAAGCGGTCATCCAAACGCTCCTCTCCAAACTGACACCAAGTCTGGCGGTGCTTATAGCCCTTGCCACATGTCACTAAACACTACAAAATGAATTCCAAAGTAGCATTAGAATAAGTCATGGTGGATGACTAGATTTTTACTCTGATGGTTTAAAGAGCAGGTCATATGGGTTTTTGAAAAATATCTCTTTTGCCGTTTATAACGTAGCTATCCTTAAATGAAAACAATCTGCAAAGTTGTTAATCAAAAAAGTGCATGATAAATAAAGATATTGTCTCTCAAAAGAGAGAGTCGATTCTGAATCGCCTTAACGAGTCGTCATATTTTCGAATCTTTTGCCTGTTACCGGTATACGTCACTGGGTAACACATTTGCATAATCCCCACCTGCCCGCGAAATACGAACAGTCTGACCTGTCCACAAACACTTCTGCTAGTTAGTGTGTTTACATCATGTTGAGAAGACGCTGTGTTCAAGGATACCACAGAAATTACATTTTCAATTGAGTGCTCAAAATATCAAGTTTTTGTGCTAATATGTGATGAACACCTAGTGCAGCTTTAGGTTTCCAAGTAAAGCAGGATATTACTGTCTTACTGAAGTAGTTCTGATAATTCGCTGTGAACCCACTATTTCCTAAGAATGTGTCGATTAA